CCTAAGCTTAACTTTTTTTGGTGCAATTTTTGTGTTGTTTGTGTGTGTGTTTGTGTCTGAGCCTGAATAAATGAAGTAAAAATTGTAATATTGTAATCCCCCCGTGAAAAGCCTACAATTTCTGGCGTCACCTGATTTGGATAGGTATCAAATTGTTTACATTGTAATGTACAGTTGTGCAGATCCTTCAAGTATTTAAAAGACAAATTTGGTATATAATTCTATCTTAGTGATCACCTTTAGTTAATAGCTATTACAGCGCTTTTCAGTAAGTATGAAGACACTGAGGCGCTATACTCTTAGGGTAGTGACGTTAGCGTTCACTGGTCATTGCATAGTACTCTGCGTCGAGGAAAGACAGTGTTAATTCGATTTCGTCAAAGTATTGACAAAGAAAACCAGTGAAAATATTTTTCAACATGAGATGTAATGGTATTTTTTCGAAATTATTTCCCTTTGAATAGCACAGTCCTCCACACTTTGGCACACAAACAGAGAGTGATATACCTGTGGAAAGACAGGGCAGATGTTTTTGAGACATCGATTGGTTGATTTCAATAAGGCACAAACACAAGGCCTCTAAGCTCTTCTAAAAGGGTAGATTGATTGACTGGTTATCAAACTTGACATGACTGTCAAACTTTTCAAGCACACTTGTACAGTATTTGGTTTCTCAGGCATTCCCCGATCGATATAAAAGAAAAAAAATTGTTGACCAAGATCACAAAGTGTGATCTCGAGAAGCCATTTGTTCTAAACTGGTATAGTACCTGCTACTTGATATTTCTTCTGATTTTCAACATTATATGTGGTGGGAAGGGGGAACAGTAACGCATTTTTAAAAGGAAAGCAGCACTTTTTTCAAACTTTAGTTAAACAATTCATTAACCCATTGACACCTGCATGAGATTGCCTGGCCCAAAACCCCAAGAGTTATATGATGCATTAACCCATTGATGCCTGCATGAAATTGCCACCCCCAATTCCCTGGCGTTTTTTGAAATATTTCAGAGCAAGTGAAAGCACAAAAATAAACCATATGCGCAGTAACTACAGACACAAGATCAGGTTTCCAACCTTTGTTTATTAAAGTTGAATAAATGAAGGGCCAAAATATTAAAAAATATCAACAAAAAGAATTCAACTTAATGTGTAAAACTGATAAGAAAACATGAAATTATATTTTTTTTCTTTGCCATGAGACAAAAGCCAAGAAAACTGAACACACAAAAATGAGTTAATTATCATCTTCGGAGGACGAAACAAAACCAAATAAAACAGAATTTCCATTGTTTTACCATAACGGATAACATAAGAGAAAACAATGGAAAAAAAAGTGAAAGACACATGTAAAAACTAATTTGAAAACATGAAATCTGATAATTTATTCGCCGCGCGAGGAAGCATTACAGCGCTGCGAAAGAAAGATGAAAGTTGTAAATCAAAAAGACGACAGAAAACAAGCCAATTATTTTGAAGTAAATCGTATTTCAACTGTGTTAAATTAATGCCCACCTAGTTCCTTTCTCAGGAGTTCTGTAGTAGCTTATTAAGACTCAAAATATATATATTTGAATGACGTGAATAAACTAAACAACCAAATCGCGGAAGTTGCCATGAATTAATATGCGAAAATCCAGCGTACAAAAATACTGTTCACTTTGAAAACCTAAAATTTCCAAATAAAGGTAACCAAATGAAAGAAACGTGACAGGAAGTTCAGTAACAATAAATTTTCATTCCAGATGAGGCAAGAAATCCTACCTAAAACCCAAAAAATGTTCAAAATTTCACAGACGTGCTTCATTGGATGACTGCATGTTCAAATTAATGCTTCACGCTAAAGCAAAAGCTTGAATTTTTGCGGACGACTTTTGCAGTCAATTTATTGGCCATGGCTTTACCAATCATTCCAAAAGTTGAGTTCAACTTAGAAGTAATACTGTACACTACCATTCTTGTTTTCTAAAGTCCGGGAAGCTCTTTTAAATCAGCGATCTGTTATCAAAACTTACTTGAAAGCACACCGTCGTCATGTTTCTGTGGCGGTTCAAGGAAGGAAAAATTCTTCACCAGAAAGGTGTTAGGACTCCACACATCTTGATCTTCCATTCTGAGGCCACCTGAACATTGATTTGTGTTTTTCCTTTCCATTTTAAGTCCCAAAGAAGTAATTTCTGCATTTTGGGAACGAAAACAAGACCTTTGAAGTTTGTAGATTTGGCCCACAATGTGCCATGATTACCTGCACTTCTCAAGCGCATGATTTTAAGACGAAAAACTGTCTTTCTAGGACCCCTACAGTCCTCTGAAAATACACTCAGTAAGTTGATTCTGATTGGTTTATTTGTCCTTAACAACAATAGAACAATAGGAGAACTAAAAGGTCTTCAGGGAGGGTAGGAAAGGCAGTTGTCCTCATCTACTTTTTTTACGGCTGGTTACAGCCAGCACAGGTATTTGGGGGGTGATTTTCGCATGGCCAGTAACAGCCAACACAGGCGTCAATGGGTTAAATGAAATCAGTGTCCCAAGGACTTTTGTCCATGATTGTAGGTGCTCTGGGGAAAACATTAATGAATATGTTTAATTAAAAGAAAAAAAACCTGCATTTCAAATGCTTGTTAGAGAACAGTTGTTTAGAAGTGCAATTCTGATGTCTGTCAAGACATCACTTAAAATAGACCAGACAGTCATGAAATGTGACCGTACCCCATTGATAGGGCCACCCCATTAAATTTTCATGGTCCA